CCATATGGGAATGGGTTTTCTTTGTTATGTGACTGAAACGTTATTATATTAGTACAGCATGCATGTTAATTCAATCTCTTCTGAGATATAAATGAGATTAAACAACTAAGCAAAAGAGCAGAGACGGGGGCAGACAGATGTCATGCCACATGAAGATCCCCAAGGAGCCAAAGAATGGAAGGTGGAGAGATAAACACCTTCCCCCAGAGCTGGTGCCCCAAATTCAGACTTCTAGCTTCCTAAACTGTGAGAAAATAAATTCTTCTGTATTAAAGCCACCCCTTTGTGATATTTTTGTTATAGCATCACTAGAGAACTAACAGTGATTGCAAACAGTGATCCTAAGTCTGGCTTTAGGCCTTTGAAAGATTGAATAGCACTTACCTCGGCTTTAATTTTATTGTCTCCAAAACAGAGGTGCTGTAAATAGGCTGCGGCATTTGACTGGACGGACGGGAACTGATGCTGCAACATCTGGATCACTTCTGGCAGTTCTGGGTCTCTCCATCCGAATTCTCTGAACAAAAGGAAGGCGGGAGAATGTGAGTGGGAAGCCCACTGCGCTGCTAACACACGGACAATGCACATGAAATCAATGTGAGTATACAGGGTTGTGTTCCACAGACGATGGTTCTGGTGTTCTTACACACACATACACACATGTCCACATACACACTCATTCGAAAGAGGGTTTTATGAATCCTTGAATAGGTAGTTCAAAACTTTATATATATTTGTGTAGAGATACATATAAGATGCAATAAAGAACATATATATGGATGTATATAAACAATCTTAAAAGCATCAGCCACAGTTAAATATTATGGAAAATTATGAAAAAACATAAATTTAAAAATGGTACTTGACTATATCTAGATCTAAAAGGAGCTCTGACGGTGCAATGGGTAAGGCATTTGGCTAATCAGAAGGTTGGTGCTTCAAGGCTACCAGCTGTAGTGTTGGAGGAAGATGAGACAGTCTACTTCCACAAAGATTTACAGCTTTGGAAACCCAGTGGGGGTTGTTGTGAGTCAGGACTGACTTGACGGCAGTAGGTTATATCTATATCTACCTATCAAATGAAACCCACCTTCACTGCATGGATTCTGACTAATAGTGACCCATAGGACAGAATAGAATAGCCTCATAGGGTTTCCGAGGCTATAAATCTTTACAGAAGCAGATTGCTCATCTGAGGCTGGTGGATTCAAACTGCTGACCTTTTGGTTAGCAGCTGAATACCTTGACCACCGTGCCATCAGAGCTGGTATATATATATATGTGTGTGTGTGTGTGTGTGTGTGTGTGTATACCTCACTGCCATCGAGTTGTTTCTAATTCATACCACCTCCCCGTTGGGTTTCCAAGGCTCTAAATCTTTACAAAAGTAGATTGCCCCATCTTCCTCCTGCGGTGCAGCTGGTGGGTATCAACTGCTGAGCTTCTGGTTAGCAGCCAAATGCCTTATCCATATGCCACCAGAACTTCTTATATATGTGTGTGTATGTGTGTGTGTGTGTGTGTGTGTAAATATATGTATGTATATATGTATACAGATAGAGAGAGCAAGAGAGCTCTGGTGGCATAGTGGGTAAAGCATTTGCCTGCCAACCAGAAGGTCAGCAGTTCAAACCCACCAGCTGCTCCATAGTGGGAAGATGAGGTGATCTACTTCCCTGAAAACTGACAGCCTAGGAAACCCAATGGGAGTCACTATGAGTCAGAGTCAACTCAGTGGCAATGGGTATACAGATATACATATATATGAGACTAAATGGATCATTTATGGTATATTTAATTTCTAAGATATGATTTCAATAGTCTGGCTCAGGTACAACACTTAATTAACTTAGATCACTGGAAACATCCATCCCAAATGTCGGGATACCTTTGCTGTTATTGTCATCAGTGTTGTTATGGTCATAACCACCTCTTTAAAAATAAACAAACTCCCTAAATGATTCTCTGCAGATAACAATGTAAGAATTAGAAATAATACGTGAAAAACATCCACTGAAGAGCTGGGCTTATTCACAGTTAATACATTTTTTTTGCAGTGCACATTCTTGTTCTGGATCTTCCTTTTCACATGTGAGCTATTCCAGGAAGTTTGTTGTCTACGATCCCCTAAGAAATATGCTCTAGGATATTTAGTCCATATTGAAACCCAAGCTTGACAGTCTTATTCTGTTAATGAATTTTCTTGTATGAAATCAACCAGCTCAATTAATTGTTAGAAAACGGTGCTAACAAGGCCAAGTGCACGGAGTCCATTCCTGTAGCAGAGAGCCATTTTGTACCTAATAATAATAAAAAGAAAGATGTCAGAGACCACAGATAAAAACTTGACCCTGTGAGCCACCTAAGGGCACCATTTATCCGAAGGACAGGCTGGTAGAGCAACCAGAGGGGTCTGCAACACCCTCTCTCTCCTCCTGGTGACACAACTCACAAGCAGCCATGCTACTGATGGTCAGTCAGCGCTGCAGCCTGGGAAGAGTGGCTACGAGAAACAGCCGGCGATGTACAGTCCAAGGGGAAAGGGGTCTCCATAGAGTCTAACCTGTCCTCTTTATCTTTCCTTTATGATGACTGTAATGACTGTCAAGTGAACCCTGAATCCTGTTGCTGCTGCCCTTTATGGAAAACAGTTACAATGTGAAATCGGACACTTCTTGAATTGGCTTGGTGTTTATTGGAAAGATAAAGCATTCTACTTAATTTGCACTAAGCATTTTACACATTTATATAAAATCTTAGGTGGATACATACGTTTTCTCAAAAGAACATATGGCAAAGTAATACAGTTGCTATAAAACATATTTGAATTACTACTGATAGTGAACAACCTATTGAATTCTTCCTGGCTACCCCAGTGGTGGACAGGTTAAGCATTCAGCTGTCAACCAAAAGGTCAGTGGTTTGAACTCACCAGCTGCTGTGTGGTAGAAAGATGTTGCAGTCTGCTTCTGTAAATAACACCCACTTCCATCGAGGGAACGCCAACTCCCAGCGACCCTAGAGGACAGAGAACTCCCCCATCGGGTTTCCAAGACCGTCAATCTTTACAGAGCAGATCACCTATCTTTCTCCCACTGAGCAGCTGGTGGGTTGGAATAGCTGACCTTTTGGGTAGGAGCTGAATGTTTTAACCACTGTGCCACCAGAGCTCCTTTCTGTAATGATCATAGCTTTGGGAACCCTCTAGGACAGTTCTACTTTGTCTTCTAGGGATGCTGTGATTT